AACCAGTGTCTCAACTGTAAATCAGTTGCTATTTCGTGGTCTACAACATGAAAGAAAGCCATTATAACATATACATGAAAAATGTAGAAACACTGGACACAACTATGGGGCACCATTGTGCAGCAGCAAGCATCACAACAAAAAAGGAACCTGAAGTTTGATCTAGGAAAATGTGTGCAAATGTATAGGGCCCCATTCCTATATTTTGCCTGGGGCCCCCAATTCACTAAATCCGCCCCTGATTGGTGGTGGTGAAGTATTAGACATTAACACGTTGTTAATGTCAACAGCCAAAAAAGTTTCACAGGATTATGAATGTAGGCCTACCTGAAAGTGATGCACAGGCTTCATCTTCATCTTTTTCTTTTCTTGGCGCCGGATTGCTGATGTCTTTTCACGAGCATAGTTGTCCATCAATTATGATCATTTGCATTCAGCCGCAAACATGAGGCGCGATCGGACGCTGATGCGGGAATGGCGCGTCACGTGTGCTTAGCCTACTGCCTACTGCGTTCACTGTAAGATGCTGTATGTTTATATTTTTATTTATGTATATGTTCATGTTAATTAGGGCTGCACGATAAATCGCATGCGATATTTAATGTGCATCTTGTCAGTAAAGCCGGTTCTGTAATTAGCGGTAAATCAGATGGTAATCTCCATCATTTACTACACAGAGTATGGCGTTATTTTAATGACAAATGTCGAGAGCGCATTATTGTAGCGCGAAAGCACATTAATATAATCCGCGAGCGCGAATCTCTCCACTCGCGCGCGGATTTCCTTTGCTCTCACACAAAACCGGACGCTCGCGCTCAGATACACGCCCGGAGAGAGCGCGAGCTCTTAAAACGTGTCTCTCCTCTCACTCAAACTGTGTCCTGTGCACTCTCAAATCTCTCTGTGCTCATGCGCTAATTAACTGTTCATATTTGCCATAACATTACTACATTCTATTCTATGGGTTTAATGCATTGTAATTACATGTAACTGTCATATAACGGTATATTCACTGTTTTAGAGGAGAGTGCCATTGAATGTGTAGCTAATATTAAGTGGATTTTCATGAAAAAAAAAATCAGAACTGAAAATAAACACTGGATTTAAAAAAAAAATCTCCTAATAAATGTCCAAACAGCGATGCTATTAGAGCATTTATTGTATCATATCTTGCATCATTTACATCTATTTTTGCATTTGATGTTGATTTGAGGAGTTGTTACTTATTATTGCCATCATATCAACTGAGAATTTATTGCAATGATTTTAAATTCAGTTGAGGTATCTGACATATTATGACATAACATTGATGTTTTATATGAAGTTTTTAGAGCCATAGGCTATAATATGTTGTTTTTAGATAAATTGCTCAGAGACCAACCAGTTGGACAGAGGTTATA